TGGAGACAATGGGTACCCAGGGCATCGAGTGAGACTTGCCTCTTGAAGGGAGCTATAAGATTCACTCTCCCTTACCCCCTTCCCCTCAATGCTTACCCATGGTTGGATATGTAGCTTCAGAAGTGCTTCAGAAGTGGATGGATGGATAGAAGGGAGGAAAGGATGGGTTAATACGGGAAAGTACTTCCCCTGCAGAAGGTGGCTTTCATCCTTCCCTTCTCGGGCTCTTGGGCAGTGCAGCATGACCGCCTTCCACAGCTAGGCCAGTTCAGCAGTTTCTGTCCTTCCAATCTCTCCATGTATCAGTGAGCACCGCCCACTGTAGCACCCAAAAGACATAGGTGCAGTGGGCTGAGGGCTGGAACATTTGCCTGAGGAGGGTACAAGCTGGACTTCTCGTATGGCTCTGTGTTCCTGACCACAAGACTCAGGAGATGATGTTTGCTACCCTCTCAACTCCTTAGCCCAGGACAGCTGCCTACAGGGACCAGACTTGAGGGTGCTGCGGATGCATCGGACTCCTAGTACATGGCCTGTAAGTAAAACTTTCCTCCCCTCTAGCTGCATGTCCGGTCCCCATGGCTCCTAGTTTGCACCGGAGGAAACAGGTCTCTGTATGGTTGTCAGCAATAAGGGAGAGCAGAGCAACACCACAGGACTTGAAGGGCTCGCAGGCAGGTAGATCTTATTGCAGAGGGTCACCTTATGTTGAAATAAGGATCTAATGAAGGATAGAATAAAGCACTCATCTTTGGAAGCAGCAAACCTGGGCTCCAATCCTGGTTCAGCTGTTGACCTTGAGTTCCCTCCCTGGGACTCAGTGTTTTACTCAGGGGTTGGTCATGAGGATTAAATGGAGTATTACCCAGGGTCCCCTCAATGGTTCAAAGGACTATATTTTAATGAAGAGTCTACATGGAAAGATGTGGAAAGAATTAAGGTAAAAACAAGAGGGTGAGGCCTCCAGAGGTTAGCAAAAGCAGGGAGCTGTTACCTGCCCAGAGCTGAAGGAACCAAGGGAGGAAAGAGTGAGAGCTGAAGCCGTGGAGAAGGGGGCTGGCTGCCTGGGGAGATCTGCAGTGGTCATGGTTGGGGGATGTAGCTCCTATCAGAGATGTGGAGGAGAAGCAGAGAGGAAGTGGGCATTAACACCCCAACCTCGCTCTCCTCCTGCCCAGGACTCCCACTACCAAACCCAAGAGGAAGCCAGCAGGCAGGAAGCCCAGCAGTGCAGTCCAAAGGGCTCAGTCACTCAGGGTACAAAACAGGGCAGAGAAAGAATCTGGGCAGGGGGCTGGCAAACAGAGCACAGCCTGCAGAACAGGCATCACTGACAGTAATAGTAATAATGGTCAACTTTTGCTGAGCACTTACTGTGTGCCGTGACACATACACTAGTCCATTTAATTTTGACTCATAAAGAGCTTAGTTAGCCCTGAACACAGAGGCACTCACTGTAGTATAACTTGTATTACCGGTTGAATGGATTTTCTCACTGAGCCAGAAGGTAAATTCAGATCCTGGACATTTTTAAGCAATGGGGAAATCAGTGACTCCTCCCCGACCCCAGGTTTTCCTTAATGACTTGCTTTGAATGAAGGTGTGCATTTGACCAAACCACAAAACACTGTACACAGGAGCTCCAGAGATGGGGAGACTGTTGATTGCAGCAGAAGACTGGAGGGGTGGCCTGGCATCCACCATGCCACGCCTGGCAGATGGCAGGGCACCCTGAGCCCCAGGGCAGGGCCTGGAATGCCCTGCGACAGCAGGTCCCAACTGTTATGGTACGGAGTGCGAGAAGTGACCACTGAGAGACCGAATTGAGCCAAATTGTGAGTCTTTATTAGCTGGCCAGCGACTACCCTCCGCACCGCCGAGAGGCAGCAGCACAGGGAGCAGCCCCGAGCCAGGGGAGACGGGCTCTTTTAAAAGCAAAAACCACATCCTGTAAAGTCATCTATCTGAGCAAGCAGGGCTACAGAAGCCTAGATCAGCATTAATCATTATTAATCTTAGTCAAAAATACATTTAACATTTTGTTTTAAGTCAGAGTACATTCTACTGCCTGTTATCTGGGTACATGAGGCACCCCTGGGTGTTTCAGTGCTCCAGGGCGTTCCGGCCCTCTGGGCTAGCTGTTACTTTATCTTGTTGAGGCTTGCAGCTGTGTGAAGCGTACCCTCCTTTCCCTTTCCCCCTTTATCCTTTGCTTAAGCAGACTGACAGAAGCGAGAGAGCAGGTTATTTCCCATAGACCTGAACACCAACCTTTTTGGCCCAGGGCCCACCCAGTTGCATGGGAGACAATTTTTCCACAGATGGAGGTGGGGAGACGGTTTCAGGAAGATTCAAGCACATTACACTTACTGTGCAGTCAAAGCTCTCTGCTAGTGATTTGCATTCGCTCCCCAGCGCTAGCATCACCGCCTCAGCTCCACCTCAGATCAGCAGGCATTAGGTTCTCATGCGGAGCGCGCAATCTGGATCCCTCGCACGCAGTTCACAGCAGGGCTCGCGCTCCTGTGAGAATCGAATGCTGCGCTCATCTGACAGGAGGCGGAGCTCAGGGGGTGATGCGAGCGATGGGGAACGGCTGTAAATACAGACGAAGCTTCACTTGCTCGCCCACCGCTCACCTCCTGCTGTGCGCCCGGTTCCTAACAGGCCACAGACCGAGGCCCGGGGGCTGGGGACTGCAGCCCTGGGAAACCCAGGAGTTCTCTCTCTCCCCATCTCTCACGGAGCACCTGCCTAACCCTTCCGCAGCTCTCTCTCCCTAAACCAGTTTCTTCCACCCAAATGATGACAAACACCACCATTCCCCTGCTCACAAGACAGGGAAGTCAGCCACAGACCTGGAAAGCCGCTCAGTCCCCAACGCAAATTCTGCAGGCAGAGGTCGCCATCTTGGGTCAGCTGCAAGCTCTGGACCAATCAGAGCGGCCGGGGGGGCACCTGCGCGGTGGGAGGCCACCATGCAAGCAGATACGGCAGGTGCCAGGAAGGCAGGGACAGGAGTGGGCGGACAGTGTCAACTACCCGGAGAAAGGCAGCATCGCTATCTGCGTAAAAAAACTTTACTGAACTGAGAAGTTGTTAGAACTAGCAAGACCATCTACTAAGGTAACCAACCAGTCACTAGATAACTTGCTAAAATTAGTTCCTACCAAGTCGAAATGCAATGAGAAAAAAAATCTCATTTACAGTGGCAACCAAAAATTACCTACAAATACACTATACTATATGGAATATAACAGGAAAAGGGCAAGACCTATATATTTTTTTTTTTTAAAAAAGCTACTTTTAAAAGGTCTGAATTACTAGAAAGCTATACAGAGGCCCTGGTTTAAAAGAGTCACTTTTAAAGAGACATTTGTCTTCAAATTAATCATTCTAATTAATTCCATCTGTATTTTTTCAATTTGGCAAATTGATTATAAAATTCATCTGGGAGAATAAATCCATAGAAATAGCTGATGATTTTTGAAAAATAGCAAAAGATTATTGCCTTGCAAAATGTATTTTAAAAGCTATAAATTCCAAATTTCTGTTTCCAAATTCCAATTTCTATTTGGAATTTCTATTTAAGTTCCAAATAGATTAAAGAGCCAAACATAAAATGACAAGATACAAAAATACTAGAAAAAGTGGGTGTTTATGGCTTTTTATAATCTTGAGATGGGGAAAGTTTTCGTCAGCGTGACTGTGTTTGCAGATCAGAGCACATAAGGCGTTAATGCTGCTTTATGATAAAAGATAAGATGGCAAAAGTTAGAAGACAAATGACACACTGAGGAAAGTATTTGCAACATCTATGATGGACAAAGTTTTAATGTCCATTATCTATATTAAAATTTCCTACAAATCAAAGGGAAAAAAGACAACTAAGTAGCAATAAAAACAACAATGAAAGGGAATTTCCATCTACTAGACAGAAATAAAATGATTTCAATATTGAACATCAGAAAGGGAGTGAAGGACTATACTTTTGCCCAGAGTTCATAGGAGCATAATTGGTTCAGACATTTTGGATGGCAAATTGGCAATATCTAAGAAAATTTAAAATGTGCATAACAATTTCATAAATGGACCCTATAGAATGACTGACATTTTGATATATGTACAAAGATGTTCATGGACACATTTTTGAAACAGGAAAGAATCAATAGCTATCAATAGAGATGATGAAATAATTTATATAATAGTAAGAAAATACTGAGCAATATATATATATAACCATTAAAATAATAAAGTGGTGTGTACTTACTGACAAGTTAGTGAAATATTTCTACCATATAGTGTTAAATAAAAAGTTAGTGGTGGATCAATGTGTAAAATATAATTCCATTACACTTTGAAGTGCACATGTATAATTATCCATATACAAAGGTGCGTTCTCTGTGTAAATATTACATATTCAATCATATAAAGATTCAAACAAAGAAAATTCTAGACCAACATACAACAAATTCTAAACACCAATTATTTCTTGAGGAGCATGATTGGGGTGAGCAGGTGGAGGGATGAATTTTTACTTAATATTGTAAATGCTATATTTAGAACATACTATAAATAGAACATGACATTATTATAACTAAAATCTACAGAAGCCCACGGGGTACAAGTAAGGCTTTTGTTCCTGACATCTGTGGTTTGACTGAACACCTGTTGTGTTTTGCCCACCCTGTTCTCACATCAAGCCTCACACAGTTCTGCACAACAGGTAATTTTATCTCCATTTACACCTGGGACTACTACTGGGGAGGGAGATTGTGTGAGAGCCAGCCTGAGTCAGGATTCGGATGCGGGTCTCTCTGACTCCCGAGCCCGTGCTTTGCAGGACGGCTGACTGTTCCCTGTGAATTCAGGCCGGGGTGAGCCCACTAACGCTGACCCCGTGGGCATTCCCTGGGGGGAGGCCCAGGAAGCGTCCTGGGACAACATGTCTTGCTGCATGGTGGAGCTGGGTGATGGCACTCTGTGTCTCTTTGTTTAGGATGGCGCACCCCATTCTGTCCCTCTGGCTGCTAGTGGCTGGACTGGCTCCTCATGCCTGTGGCCAAGGGGTTCCTGACCAGAAAAATCATCCAATCCCACGGACCCCGTCAGCCTCCTCAACCTTCCTGAACAATTCCCACTTAGCCTTCAGCCTGTACCGACAGATGGTGGCCCCAAACCCAGACAGGAATGTGCTCTTCTCCCCACTGAGCTTCTCCCTCCCCCTTACTCTGTTGGCCCTTCAGGCCAGGCCGGAGGTGCGCACTCGGGTTCTGAGGGGCCTGGGGCTGAGCCTTGCCGAGGTTCCAGAGAACCAGGCCCATGTGTACTACAGCCAGCAACTCCGTTCCTTCCTACCATCCCCTGAGGAATGCCACATAGACATGGACAGCCTGCTGTTTGTGAACCTGAAGCAAAGAGTGTTGCAGAAGTTTGTTGATACTGCCCAGAATCTGTACCGCACGGAGGTCTTCCTCATCTCCTTCGAGAACGACCAGTTAGCCCAATATGAAATGGACTTCTTCACGAGGAAGAAAACTCATGGCAAAATTGGCAATCTTTTCGAGGAGGTGGATAAAGACACCGTCTTAGTTCTGGCCAACTACATTTTCTTTAAAGGTATGTAATCTTCTACTGATTAGTTAGACCTCTTCGCAGCTTACTGAAAAGTTACTCCATCTTTTGTCCAAGATGCATATTTCCTCTCCCCCTACTTGGGATTTCATTCTGTCCTGCCTCTCTAAGATCTTGTTCTACTGATCAGCTGCTCTCTCTCCCACCTCTGCAGGCTCTGTCTTTAGGAACCTTCACCTGAACATTCAAACTCCAATTCCCTTTCCAGCTCTAAGCCCCAGCTCTCTCCTCTCTGTCACAACCAGTATCTTAGGAAGCGGTGCCCCCCCACAGGACCAGCTACATAAGTTGTGGAGTCCCTCGTCCAAAGTCACATTTCAAGATGCGATGGCCGAGCGTTAAACTACCTGTGGGGCCGTGTGCAACCGCTAAGACCATGTCTGCTCACGGGAGCTGTCCCCACTTGCCTGCCTTTCCACTCAGCACAAATCTTGCATCTGGACCCAGTACTCATCTTGTCTCCAATTGCTTCATCAAGCAGCCTCCCTCGCCAAAAGAACTCTGTTGAGCTGAGAACCTCCTCCTTCCACAGCCTCCCTTCTTGGCCACATTTAACTCTGTTTTATTGACCCTCTCTCGACACTCTCCTCTCTCGGCTCAAAATGGCTTTCCCTCTACCTCCCCATCCTTACTGCATCGCCCTCTCTTGTAGAGCCAGAGCCCGTTAATTGTTTGATTGTTGACATTCCATAGAGTTCTTCCTTGAGTGACCTTGGCCTCTAATCCACCCGTAGGCTGGAGACTCCCAACTCCCTGTGACCAGCCGGCACCTCTCAGGCTCTCTGGACCCTTAGCCTCACCAGCCATCTGTCACCTCCTTCTGAAGGAAGCACCTCAAGCTCAACATGTTCAAAACAAAAGCCATTTCTTCCCCCATCTCCCACCCCCCAAAATCTCCTCTTCCTTCTCCTTTCCTCTAAGTCTCACTAAATGGCCCCAACTCCTGCCCAACCCAGAACCTTGGTTGCCACTCACCACTAGCTGGGCAGATCAGCCACACCACACATCTAGACAGGAACTACATCCTGTGGCTTCTGCCTCCCTAATCTGTGCGCCCTCGTCCCTCTCCACTGCCGCTATTCTTGTTCAAGTTACATTATCTCTTACCGAAATTATTGCAACTGCCTCCTAACAGGTCTCGCTGTCTGTAGTGTGCCTCCCCACCTGCACCCCTAATCCAGTTTCTACACTGCAGTCAGGAAGAACTTTCCATAAGCCACATTTGACCTTGTAATTCCACTGCTTAAAACCTTTCAGTGGCCCCAGCCCAATTGTATCCCTTGGGCTAATGCCCCACATCTTTAGGAAGAACCAGGCCTTTAAGTGGCCTGTCCCCTGCTGCTGTCTTCACCCACATCTCTTGTCACCTCTCTACTCTTCCTCTCCCCAGAAGTACCACAGGCTACCCACACGAAACAACACCCCTGCCCTGAACTGCACTGTCTCTCACCGACAGACCCCCCACGGGCCACCGCTTTGCTTGGAGTGCCCTTCACTCCCCTCTTCCCCTCTGCCTCCCCTGGCCAGTAGGTTCTCATCCTTCAGGGCTCTGCTCTGAGGCCGTTGCCTCCAGAAGACTTCCTTGACAGTCTTCACCACGGAGGTTGCCAGATTTAGGAAGAAAACAAAAAACAACAACAAAATGGGACGTGTTTATATTTAAAACAATTACTGTTTCTCTGAAATTTAAATTTAACTGGCATCCTATATTTTATCTGGCAACTCTACCCAACACTCCCCAGAGTCAGTGGTGGTGAGAAAAGAAAATGCTTTTTGTTTTGAACATGGTGAGTTCAAGATGCATCTTGGGCACCTGGATAGAAGTGACCGGATGGCAAGTTGAGGATGTGGGCCCGGAGCCCCCGAGAGCTGTGGGCTGGGCAGAGACTTGGGAGTCCTCAGTGTGCAGGAGAGTTTCAAGCTAGCCGAGGGCACAGTCTTGCCTCTCCTCTGTGTTCTGCTACAAACACATCCTTCTTTAATCTGAAAACACACTGCATTATCATTTTCTGGTCACTTGTCTATCCCTACAAGGCTGTGGGCTCCTTCGTACAGGAGAGTTTACTGTTGTGTGACACCTGCCATCCCTGGAATCCAGATGCTGTCAAGATTGCAGGGCTCAGAAACTCAGGTTCCTGGTGTCCTCAGCGCCCCCTGCCCTAGGCCCCCAGAGCTCAGTCCCGGTCAGCCTCAGCGCTGGACTCCTCAACCCCAGAGGCATCAGCTGCCAGGAAGGAAAGGCAGAAGCGGGCTCCAAAGGAGGAGGAGTGGGCTCCCACCCCACCCTGCCCAGATTCCTCAGGCTCTGGGCCCACAGTTCACGTGCAGACGGTACTCAGACTTCTCCAACAGATTCCAGGGATGAGTGGAATCCAGGTAGCCTATACTTTGTGGAGCTGCAGTAAGCACCGTAGAAAGAATAGTGTTAGCTAACAATTACTGAGCGACTGCTATGTGCCAGACCGTGTGCTCAGACCTTTACTTGGAACATCTCATTGATGCTCACAGACATCAAAAAGGTAGATGTCATCGCCCCAGTGTACATACGAGGGCCCCGTTCCGTTTCTGGCTTCACCTCCCACTCCCCTCTGCCTCACTCTTTCTTCTCCAGCTACACAGGCTTCCTGATGTCCTTTGAACATGCCAGACCCACTCCTGCCACCAGGCCTTTGCACATGCTGTTCCCTCTCTCTGGAATTTTCTCCCCCCAGGTATACCATGGCTCATTCCCTCCCCATTAAGTATTTACTCCATATCACCTCAGGGAGATTTATGTAAAATTATAACTCTTCTTCCTGAGATTTGTCTCCCCTTGCTTTATCTCTCTCCTTAGCACATATCACCACCTAACACCTTTTTTTTTTCTAGTTTATCTTGTTCCTGCTCTTCCTCAGGTGTGTGAGCTCGACGTGGCCGGGATTGCTCGTGTGCAGCAGTGTTGCTCACGTGAGAACGGTGCCTGGCAGACAGCAGCTGTTGGGCGTGAGCTGGTGCACTTGGGTTTTGAGAAAGATCTCCCCAGACAAAAATTAGGATAGAGAGAAGAAATTTACTTACTTTTTCCCAGGCAGAAAAAAGGCCAACACAAAAGTGAAGGAGGGTAGAGAATGTTGGCAGAGAGAACCAGGCATCCAGGCTGTTTAAAAGGGAGGGGTACAGTTGAGAAACTGCTGCATCCCTGCCTTTCTTTCTTTTAGCAGCAGGCTGGTAACAGAAGGGCGGATGTCAGAGAGTTGGTTGTGGCCCCTCACCCCACTCCTGCCTTTCCTTGGAGGCAGGATTATCCCTGGGGATGTGACTCTGCCCTGCCCTCGAGAGAGGCCCAAGGCCTGAAGCTGGCACCAAGGCTGTAAAAAGCAGATTCTCAAAAGCAGTTTTAACAGGGAACAATTTACATTTCCTTTCGTCTGCTCAGCCCTTTTCAGACATTGTGAAAAACAGAACCCCACAGGATGCAGTCAGCTCGCGGGAAAGAGAGCGAGCGCGCGTGCAAGCTCATGATTGATGTTAGCCCTTACTGTGGGTTACATAGATTTTCTGTTATTTCACTAGCAACTAAGGCCTCCTTCCAGCAGCCCCTCCCTAGATAGCTCCCAAATGAATGAAACGCCTGACACCTGGTGCCCTGTGCCCTGAAGACGGGTGGCTTCCTCCAATGCTCGTGCTCTCCCTTCTCAGGGAAATGGAGACACAGCTTCGACCCAAAGCTCACTGTGACCAGGCCCTTCTGGGTGAGCGAGAGGCTCACGATCCCGGTGCCCATGATGCAGCGTCTGGGCAGGTTCCAGCTCCAGCATTTCCCCCAGCTGCACAGCCACGTGCTCCGGCTGCCCTACAGCTGCAACAGCACCGCGGTCTTCATTCTCCCCGACATGGGCAAGGTCGGGGAGACGGAAGAGGCATTGATGAAAGAGGATTTTGACACGTGGACTCAGCCCTTCCCGCTCAGGTAAGCCCAGCTGTCCCCACCCCCGCATGCAGTGAGACCCTCTCCACAGCCCTCTGCGGCAGGAGGGTGGGACTAGACCACGCTCTAATTATCAAACAGGCTTCCGCCATTCACTGCTCCCAGAGACGGGAGCAGGAGAGCGGCAGGACAAAACCATCATCATCACTATCATCATCATCACCACCATATTATCACATCACAGCCTCCTCTGAGAGATTACAGTTCACCTTAGCATTTCAAAGCGCTGAGAAGTTGTAAAGAACTGAGCAGCGTTGAACATAGCTTTACTCAGCATTCGCAAACAGCATTTGAACACGGCACACGTTTTAACATAGGACCTGTAAACAAACTACAGTTCCATGCAACCCACGGTTGGCTAATTACCAAGGGTCTGTCTTTGCAGTTCATAAACTGATTCAGTCAGTGTGAGCGGTAATTAACTCAGGGGAGCCAGGACCTGGCCTCTTTACTGGTCACTTCTCAGAGAGACTTTACGTGAAAGTCACTTCCCAGCCACCAGCATGTCTCTCCTCTTTGCCACACTCTGTGCTCAACTTGCTTGCTTTATCACATCACGAATCACCAAGTGGTGACGTCCCCTCACATGTACAGACGTGAAAAGGTAAACACAGGTGAAAGTGGCACTCGGTCCTGCCCTGGACCCTCAAGGCCTTGAGGCCGGGCCTATGGAGGGAGGGAATGGGGTAAGGCTATGTGTTGGGCCAAAGACAGACAGACGGACAAACAAAGAGACTCTCTTCTTCCCCTGGACCCAGAGCGCACCACAGCCAGCCTGAGAAGCAGCAACACAGCTGGAGAAAGAGCTTCGGTTTTGACTTTGGGCAAATCTCCTAATCTCTTTAACCCCCTCCATTTTCTCATTTATAAAGTGGATATCTTTAGCACTCAGCCCCCAGGATTACTATGAGGATGAAATGAAATTACCTTGTAAAGTACCTGGCAGAGACCCGTTTATTGCAGACGCTTAGTAAACACAGCTGACATTAATTTTATTCCATTACTCTGCAGTGAGATTGCAGGCTGGGCGGTTCATTAGATGCCATTATTTCAACTCTGTTTTCTCCTCTCATTCCCCCGAGTAGAAAGAGGAAGCTGTATTTTCCAAAATTCTCCCTACCTGGGAAGATTCAACTGGACAAGCTCTTACCCGCAGTAGGCATCTCGGATATATTCAGCTACCACGCAAAACTCTCAGGAATTTCTCTGCAAACCATGCCCATGAAGGTCTCCAAGGTAAGTTTTAAACCCATGGTGTTGAGTCATTTATAATAGTGCGCGAGTTTTCTCACTTGCTCATCCATTCCCCATTCACCAGGGGCCCCTGCGATGCTGTTCCCATGCTTGGGGACGTCATAGATGGAAATGGAGAATTACAACACCTGCTGGTGTCCTGAGGACAGCTGCTCCTAGAAGAGGGCTGGGCCTGAGGGGCAGGGAAGGGGCCGGGTTTCCCAAGCTCACCTCTCAGGCAAGCAGCCCTGCTCTAGGGGTAAGGAAGGCCGTGGTGGGGAGCCTGGAAGCTGAATGTTTCTGCAATATCGTCCCCTCCTGGGGAAGTGAGTACCCTTATGTAAAAACAATGCGGTGAGTGGGGGGGCGGGGGGAGGTAGTTACACAAGCAAGGGTCCAGATGCAGGAGGAGGTTACACAAGGATGTGGGGGCCGGGAGGGGGTTGAGTTACACAAGGATGGGGTGCAGAGTAAGACCCCCCTAGATGGAGTCCTGAAGTTTTAACCCCACCACGAGACTCTCCAGGCAGTAGAAAGAGACAATGCCCAGAAATATTGCTAGTGTTGGGAAAAGGCAAGTTGGAGGGGAGGGGCATGAGCGAGTGGGGATTGGGGAGGGCAGGGGGCAGCCCAACTCTCAGCTGGGGCTGGTGGCAGGAGGGCCTGGCCTGCCAGGCCGAGGTGCCCAAGGGCCAGGGTCATGCCTGAACTGAGCGAGGAGGCCACCAGTGGGCTTTGGGGATGAGTCTGAGCTTTAGGAAGGGGATTGCTGCAGAGCCTGAGGGAGTGAGGACAGCTAGCGAGTGACACTCGAGGCAGGCCTCAACAAGACAGGAAGGTGGGTTGGAAAGGAGGTGCACTGGGAGGGAGGAACTCCAGGACTCGATGGCTGGCTTGGGAGTGGAGAGTGAATAAAAAGGAAACCCTCTCTCTGGGAGGCCGGGGGATGTGGTGCACGCCACAGAGCATCACAGGAGGTCTTGGGGAGCAGGGGGTGCCCTGCCACAGAGGAGGGATCGGGTAGAGCAGGGGAGCAGGCCCCTTCCTCGAAGCCCAGGCTGGCCCTGGGGTCAGGCGCAGAGTGAGAGGAAGGACCCGGCCTTGGGTGTGGAGCCCAGTGGGGAGAGGCAGCATCCCACTGAGTCCCTGGAGATAAGGAAACTGAGTGTCCACCAGGGGACAGGACACGCCAGGTCATGCTGTAGTCGAGACAGAAGCAGGACTCGATTCTGGGCCTCCTGGGCCGAGCTCACACCGAGGGTCGGTGTGGCATCTCCTGGCGAAGGGGCCACTTCTGCTCAGAGCAACACCGTGAACCTCGGTCCCTCAAAGGCGGAGCACAGGGCAGAACTGACCGCGGATGAGGAAGGAGCAGAAGAGGAAGACACCACTGACCTCCAGGCCCTCGACAAGCAGTACCTCCCCGCCCTCCACTTCAACAGGCCCTTCCTACTGCTGGTTTTCGAGGACGGCAGCCGCAGCCTTCTCTTCATGGGGAAAGTGCTGAATCCCAAAACAGACTGGTAGTGAGGTGAGGAGAGAGCCCGGCGCCTCCTCCCCTGCGGTGCTCGGGCTCCTGAAGGCACACGGCCATGGCTCCTCTTCTGGTCTTTGCACAAAGCCTCCCCGAGTGATTAGCCTCATTGCACAGATTAGCAAACCCAAGTCCAGGATGCCGTGCGATCGCAGGCCAAACTCAGTGCCCAACGCCCGGCTTCCCATGTGGATCCCGGAGCCAAGTCCCTCTGGTGGCTCTTCTCCAGCTGCCCACCCCTGCAGACTCTGCACTGTCCCCTCGCTTCCCGTTTTCTCAGATCCTGGCCACCTGCACTGTAGCACGGCTGTATTCCTCAATAAAGCAGCAAATGAAAACTTTGTCCGGGATGTCCTGGTGGTGCTGGGCAGGCTGTTCCCCTAGCAGGATTTGGGGACTCTGCTGAGAGTGGCCTGGGAGTATGCATGTGTGACAAGGAGCGGGCAGGACCATCCTGTCATTGCCACTTGCCAACATCGGATAGGTCCAGTGGTTCATAAAGTGCCAGCAGGGTCTCAGGTCTCTGCTGCAAGTGGCTGGAAAGGAAAGCGTGCAAGGAACGTCTCTGAGTCTCTTTGACAAGAGAGGCAACTTAGTATACATTGTGTTTGAAGGCCATTTGCACACCTCAGCTGTGTTCCTGCATAGGCTTTAGAGAGCAAGAACAAACGCCCTCTAACCCCGTCCGTAAAACTCTCTCCATGAAGGACGACTCCTCCAGGAGAGGAGATCTCAGAGCAGGGACTGAGTTCTGCACAAGGGTCTCCATCCAACGTTCAGTCCTATGTAAGTCATTTGAGAAAGCATCCAATGAGTACCAACTGTGTGCAAGGCACCGGACTAAGGCTGAAAGCACGTAGCATGGACACGGCCCTATCCTCAAAGAACTAGTGGCGCAGGCGTGCACGCCATGCCGCCTTGCTGCAGCCACACCTGGGTGCATGGGCAAACGTTAGCCAGTATGATACATTCTTTCATTCTGCAGATAGAATCCATGTCCTTCCCAGGAGGAGTGTCAGCTGGTTTTAGGCTGAATGGGGCAAACGGCCCAGTACTGACGGCCCGACTCAGGGGAGAGAGGGAGAAGTGTAGCCTCACGTCGAGCTGGCACCAACGGACAGCTGCAAGTTGACAGGAGCCTGTGGGAACTTTGATCACTGTCATAGTCATTCCACAGACACCGTTGTTACAACAACTCCTCCCCACAATGTCGAGTGTTCCACTCCGACCACCACCTCCTTCCTTTCCAGCTCATTGCTTTTGGTGCCCAACTCCAACAGCCCTTCGGCCCCACTGGGATGCACGATCTATTGACTCCACCGGTTTTCAGTTCCTTCTCTTCTGTGGGTCCTCACTTCCTCCCTGCCCAGCTTAAATCCCATGATTAATCCCTTGCTCTTGCTTTATCAAGAGTTCCTTGACAAAGCCCCCAAGTCTCCCCCTATTCCGTGCCCACACTTGAGCTGCTGAGTGTAGCTAGAGAAAAACAACGCACAGACTGGCCTTATTTGACATTCGTGATCACTAACCTCAAGAGAGCTTGGATCCTGCAAGGCACGCGCTCTCTCCTTCTTGAATCCTCTCATGCTCCCACAGCCTCGGCCCCAAAACACTCCGAGCCAACGACCTCACTTCCTTTTTCACTGGCAAAATATAGGCGATCATCTGCCCACCCACCTGCAACTCTGCCCATGCCTCTGCCGTTCCTCCTGCTACGATGGATGCTCCTAGCTAAGGCCACCCCTCCACAGATGCCGGCATTGTATTTTCTCTCACTCAGATAAAATACAATTATAAAAGACGTTGCACCAGCTACCCTCCCCTCTGACTCCTCACTCACAAACCTGCCCTATCCACTGGGCTTCTCTATCAGGAGGCGAACACGCTCTTGTTGCTTCCATATTAAAATAGATAGATGGTAGATGGTAAGTAGATAGATGATATATAGACGACAGATAATTAGATAATGGATGGGCAGATGGATGGGAGAGTAGATAGAGACCTGGTAGATAGATGACAGACGGCTAGAGGATATTTAATAAATGATAGATAGATATCATTTCCCCTTCCAACCAACACACCATTGCTTGTAAAAGTTATTAATATTTATTCCCCTAGTTTCAAATTAGGGTGACTAGCCATCCCAGTTTGCCTGAGCATGAATTCCAGGACATGGGATTTTTTAGTTTTAAAACCAGAGGTCACAGGATGCAAACTTTCGTGCTAAAACCTGGAAGGTTCCCAGATAAACCAGGACAAGCAGGTCATCCCACAAAATCCTTTCATTCTCTTGAACATGCTCCAGCGAGGCTTCCTCCAGCCCCACCAATCCCACGACCGTTTTACCAAAGTACCTTGGCCAGTCACCCACCACCACCTGCTCATTCCTCTATCATCTGTGAGTCTGCATCTTTCCTGACGGCTTAGCTTAGCACCACTGGGCAGAATTTATCACTTCAGGCTCTAGAAATACTTTTCATCACTTGGCTTCAGGGACACCACACTCTCCTGCTCCCCTTACATTTATCCTGCGCCCTTGCCAGCTGCTGCCTCTCAGCCTCCTTTACTTTATGGGCTCTGCCTCACCTCCCGAACTTTTTAACATTTGAGTGTCCCAGGACTCAGTCCTTGAGCCTTTTTTCTTTTCTATCTACACTCGCTAGGGGATCTCATGTGTTCTCGTGAATGTTAAAACCAACTAAAACCCCATACTCCTAAATTCGTATCTGTAGCACCAGTGTCTACTCTGAACTCCAGACTCATACATCCAGCTATATACTTGCCACCTCCATATAAAGTCTGATAGTCACCCCAGACTTAACATATTTATAACTGAGCTCCCGATCCCGGCAGCTCTCACTGGCTCCACCTGCAGTCTTCTCGTGTCAGTTAATAGTAATGTCATCCTTCCGGTTGCTTGGGTTCGAACCTTTGGAGTCATCCTTAACCTATCTTTTTCTCACACCGCACATTGCATCTGTCAGCAAATACCATCAGCCCTATCTCCAAAAAATATCTAGACTCCAACTACCTTGCACCATGTTCACTACTACCCTCTGGTCCAAGCCACCACCGTGTCTCTCCTGAACTATTGCAACCCAATTGCCTAAACTAACTTTCTAATTGCAGGAGCATGGGATGGGGAAGAAGGAGAGACAGAAGACATGGAAAATGTACCTATGCAATAAATACTATCTAAAGAACTAGAGGGTTAAATGTAGCATATAAAATTATAATCATAAGAAACTCGTACATTAATGCTAAATAAATTTTCAAAAAGGGTGCCAATAAAAGTGGGGAATAGATAGTCTTCTTAACAAATTGACAAGGAACAATTGGATAGCCATGTGCACATTTTAAAAAAATGATTTAATCTCATACCATACACAAAAATTAACTCCTAACTCAAATGATGGACCTAGATGTAAGAGCTGAAACTATAAAACTTCTAGAATAAACCGCAGGAGAGAATTTTTATGACCTCAAGTTAGGTAAAGCATTCTTATATATGACACCAAAAGCATGAGCAATAAAAGAATGAAAAAATTGATAAATTGAAGTTCACTAAAATAAATGTTTACACTTCAAAAGATATTACTAAGAAAATTAAAAGACCAGCTGCAAGTTTCTTACAAAATAAAACATAGTCTTATCATAAGATCTAGCAATCATCATCCTAGACATTTATCCAACCGATTTGAAAACTTTCTCTACACAAAAACCTGTACTCAAATGTTAACAGCAGTTTTATTCATAATCACTAAGAACTGGAAGCATCCAAGATGTCCTCCAATAAATGAATGGATAAACAAATTGTGGTCCATGCACACAATGAAATGTTTGTTATTCAACAATAAAAAAAGGAAAGTAATAGAAATGAGATGTCAAATCACAAAGAGACATGGAGGGACCTTAAATGCATTTTGCTAGGTGAAAGAAGCCAGTCTGAGGTTACATAGAGTCTCACTCCAGTTATGTGACATTCTGGAAAGGGCAAAACTACAGCAACAGTAAAAAAGATCAGTGGTTGTCAAGAGTTCAGGGGGAGGAGAGAAAGTTTGGATAGGTGAATCATGGGGTATTTTTTAGGGTGATGAAACTATTTTGCCTGATGCTGTAATGGTGGATACGTGACACTATGCATTTGTCAAAGCCCATAGAACTTTACCACACAAAACATGAACCTGAAGACACGCAAATTTAAAAACTCCTTTAGGAGTTGGAGAATCTCAGGATGGAAAGCATAATGTGACAAAACAATCTAATTGTATTACAAATGTATAAAACAACAGGAATTAAACAATTAGCCAAATGAAGTCAACGGAGGTCAGATGGTGGGAGCCAGGTTGGAGTAGAAGGTTACAGATTAGCAAAAGGAAACTGAAATGGTATACGGCTTAGAGTTAGTTGGAGATATCAGTATGAACTCGCATTTAGCCTAATGTAGATATAGACGGTTACATGTGTAAATGCTTACAGATACGTGTATATATGAGGTCTGTGCATATACATATATCCCCTTGCTCTGTCAGCTGAAAGAGTCTAGAAGCAAATGATACCTCGGTAGCAACGAACACACACAGCACCAAGATCTCGGTTTCTAATACCATTCTCCGAAAAAAGTAACCAGGACTCCTTGAAAAAATGGCTGATTCTAGGACCAGCGCAGGAAATATACAAGATGATCCTGGAGATCTAGTCTTGCCAGAAAGTAAGGAAGTGCTTTTAAAACCCCCACAACGCTGAGAGTACATCAGTGGAACTCGAGTCAACTGAAACAGCCCCTGATAGGCAGAGCTGGATCAATTTGAACAAAAAATAAATAAAGTAGTGTTATAAATTATAATAGTATGTGTATATATAGGAGATTATAACTCAAAGTAT